TATATAAATATGTATATATATAAACCAAGAACTCCAAGAAAGCCAGAGGGTTTCTGATAATCTTCAAACTGTAAATCAGGTTTATAGGGTTTCAAAAGATATAAAAATTAAATAAGAAGATTACTGTTTACAATAAATATTTTCATAGAGCCTTTGCTACACCTCTAAAATCAACTTCCAATTTCATGTTCAACAGAAATTGGAAGTCAAGTCAATAAAACAAAGTGCCTTTTGTTTCTTTCACTAGGAAAAAAATTGAACTGAGTAAGATATGGGACATGAGATTTTCAGCCCTGGTAACTATACTAATATGCTATAAGTGTCTAGGCAAACTTCTACTTACTCAAAGATAGAGAGCTTTAACTTTCATTAATTATTTACACTATACAACGGACTCCAGTATCTGGTGTTTTTTTTTCCATTGTTCCACTACTTCTCATGCATATGGTGGAAGCTCCTTTCCCTGAGGATACAGTAGCTTGGAAATGGAAAACTTGGGCTTCCCATAATGGAATCTGTGCTTGGACTTCTGTATTCTTTTAGTTTGCCTTCATACTCGAGTGGGTTCTTATTAACTTGTAGCTCTGCAAAGAACAATTAATTTAATGCTAACTGGGATGTACTGTTCATAGAGTAGGTCTGAGCAAGTTCAATTCAATGACACCCAAACCTGTAAAAGCAATCAATCAGCCATTCAAATGCTTCAAGAAGAAAATCAAACATCAACTAGTTAAACTTCGGTAGGACACAGGTTTCCTGGAGTCTAAAGGAAGCGCTTTCCCTAATTTCCAGTTACAGATTTACAAGAGCCAGTGTTATCAAAACTCCAGTCTTATGTCTGCTATATTAACACGTAAATTTTGATAATACTCAAAGGTTTATTTTCTACATTTTGTTAGGAATTAATATCTTTGACATGATATCGGTTAAAGGCTAGTGTCAAAAATTAATTTCTTAAGATTGGATATATACATATAAACGCAGTGACAAAAACAGTGCTATGCATAAAGCTATGAGTGAAGGACAATTTGAGAGAAATGAAAAGGAGTTAAAAAGAAATGGCAGGAAAACTATGTTGATTTTACCCTGCCACCTGAACTACTCTGGCAGCGTTACTGTACAGTTTTGTATTCAAACAACATAGGGATTGATCTTAGAGCATGTTTGATTGGCATCATTTCCATCAACAGACTCTCTCTTGACTTGAAACAGCATAATGCTGATTTTCACTGCTCCAATACCTCTGAATCATTCCAATATGCCCTACCTGCAATATGAAAATACACACTGATAACTAGGCAATTTCTTCCCTCATGTAAATTTTCAGGGAAAGTTATGGATGCAATTAGCTAAGATTTTCTGAAATGAAGTCATTAAAAACTGTACAGATAAGAAGGAAATTCTGTGCAAAGGAGAGTCTTGTTAGGCAAAAGATGCCAGCAGTGGAAATAATTTACAGCAGTAAATACTACAAAGCAGTCTAGGCCAACTCTTTTGCCAAACACCTATCATTTTCTGTAACAATCATGAGAACAGATTGTTAAATACATCTGTAACTTTACCTCTTTCAGGATCGATAAAACAGTCTATTCTGATGAAACTCTTAAAAGCCCCTCAGTATTTAATGAAGTGCATCTGAAAGGCCAGGTTTCACTGCCACTCTGTTGAAACTTAAACTGTTTAAACACGGTTTATCAGTTATGAAGATTATCAGAAAAATATAGCACAAACTAACACGCCCATCAGGAATAGAAAACCAATTTACAGTGAGAAGGTGTACAGGGCTCAGGAACTTGGTCACAGTATGGAGAGGCTGCAGGGGGCCAGACAAAGGTATCTGGTTTAGGATGAGGATGAGGAAGATGAGAAGATACAAACAGTTGGAGAGGAGACTCTGTTCTTGAGAGAGAAGATGAGGAAGTATCAGAGGCTAAAAAGCGAAACAAAGAAAATGATAAGGGTGTGGGAGGGCAGGAAAGAAAAAAGATCCAAGAACAGGGTTTAATGGACTCATGGATGCCAAAAGATGCAAAGCATTTATTTCACCATTCAGTAAGACGAAAATGGCTTCTACATAAAATAAATATCACTTCTGAAAGCAACTGAAAAAAAAATACCCTGTACTCATATGTACTCTTCTTCCATATCAAACTAGATTAAAAAAAACAAATTAAAGATTTTTTTTCCCTATGTTCTAATGCATAAATTTGTAAAATATATTTAAGGGGAAATAAAGACTAAAGTTTAAAACTCAGCTACTGTTGTTTCCTCCTACGGTAAACTCAGTGGATTGCAACCAATACACAACAAATTGAATAATCTGTTTCAAAAAGCATTGAGTGCAACTTACCTTAACCAAAATAGCCAGCTGAATCTCAAGTGATTTGAGTATCTATCTTTGTGCCTGCCTCCTTGTGAGATTTTACATCAGTGATTGATTCATCAAAACTTCCCCCCCCATTTATTTCCTACATCAACACCTACAAATATGGGTGCATGCCACTCACGGCAAACCAGCTGCAATAGAAGTCAAGCTTAAAGGAGATTTGCCACAGTTATTCTTCAGCGCATTAGAATCAACAGTCTAGCCTTCTAAGAAAACCACAATACACTTTTTTTATACTTCAAAGGTTACACACTTGAATCATTTAATCATTTCTGTTTAAGGGATTGGCAAGAGCTCTAGATAAAACTGGTTTTTAAGACTTTTTTTTTCAAATTTCAACTTCTGTTTAATTGATACATCTAATAAAAAGAATGTTTTACAGGCATTATAGCTAGCTTTTTTAAAAAAGGATTTTAAAATTCAAATTTTAAGGACACAAGACTTCAGATTGGAATTTTAGCTCTCGTTTCTCAGTACTTGGATTGGCTGAACTCAGACTACACAGGCAAAGAGGATCATCATCATACATGGCAAGCAAAGTTAGGGAGGGGAAAATTTCCAAATGTTCATGTGCATACACACACATAAATGGATACTCATGGTAGCATTATATGGTATACAGAGGAGGGGAGCAAACATTTCTGTCCTAAGAGGACTTTCCCCAATACCATTCCTGCATGCCCCTGTTTTAACATTTGTTTATTTATTTAAATGTCAAATCCTTTCTGCATTTCTAAACACTGAGGATCCACAGAATTTGCATGAGCTCTTTCAGCCTATAAAGGTCTAACATCGCGACCATCTATGGTTTCTCTCATCTACCTTTCATGAGCAACTTTTTTGACAGTCTGCTTAAAGTTTTCTCACTCAAACCATATGACAAGATTGACTTCTTTTATTCTTATAGTACCATAACATTTTAATTTCTGCAAAATTTTAATATAATCTTCTTCCAAAAAAACAGAAAAAAAGACAGCCCCCAACCTATCCTCCACAATTACCTTTTATGAGAAAAATAATCAAAAAGGAATGCCATATTTTTGTTTTCCCATCTTGTTCTCCTTGACAGTAGAGATAAGTTCTAATAACACAGCTGAGATTCAGAAAAAAAGACAAACTGGAACTTTTAGAAAAATCAGAACATATGTAAAGATCCTGTTTTCCAATCAAGACATTGGATGCAGGATTTGAATCTGCAAGCTTCTTGAAAAGCTCACTGTTTTGGATGAGGGTTCATCTTTACTTAAAAGCATTGAATAGCACTCCCCAAAGGCGGAGATCAAGAGCTTTGTGTCCCTACGGGGGAAAAAACAAACAAAAAACCACAACTAACCACAAAAAAACCTCCCACGACACCACCCCAACAAGCACGTTTTTGAAGGCATAAAATAAATTATCCATATGTACATCTACCTATATATCTATATGAAACCATTAAAATCTAGTTGTGTCCTTAAAATGAAACAATGAGCTAGACTGGAATATAGAATGATATAATGTTATCTTATACTTTTTAATTATACAAATGCAAGAAGACAGAAAATTCCACATTAGGGGCAGCAAGCTAAATTATGCCATATCTCAGACCACAACGTATTGCAATTCTTTGAAATCAGGTGACCTGATCTTTATAATCAAAACTGTTTGCCACTATAGCAAGCACACACCACTTTCTATTTACTTACATGATTCCAAAATTGAGTGAACATTTGATCCAACTTTAACTTTCAGAAGTTGAATATCTAAATCGGATTTTTCTCTACTGCACAATTCTCACATTAAACAAAGAGATACATTACAGATTTCAATGTATGTTAATTTACGGGTCAGTGTATTCATAGGCTGACAAACTTTCCCATGTGTCAAAGTGTGAATCTGAAAGGTGCCAGGAAAAGCATGCTAGTTTTGAGATAAAACCCAGGGAACAGAAAACTCTCAGTATTTAGAATGCAAGTAACATACCATAAAGGTTTTTGGAACTAGCATCACCACAGTAATTCCTTCTGCAATTTTCACAGAATGCACGGCTCACCTGCTTTTTGGCTATATGACTTTTAAGGCATATCAATTTGCATTGTGATAACTGAATATATTAAAATAGGCAAATTACATATTGTAAATATTTACTGTCATGTAACAATCTTATCTTTTATGTAGCACACCTGTGCACCACAAATTTTGATATATCAAAATATCACAGTATATATGATTTGTCATAAATAAATTTTGCTTATAATGTCAAATCTATGTCTATAGTAAGCCAATCCATCCACGTAACTATATTTTAATAGATATTAGAGTTTTTAATGAATTTAAGTAGCAACAATGTCTTCAGTTTTTTTGAGATTAACATTTTTCTGAAATTTTTCTGATTTACCTTTTAAAAAGAAAATATGTGCAAATACTGGACAGAAAAGCACAGGACCTCAGCAAACAGGCTAGTCCAGCATACTAATTTTTAGCCCTTGCATAAGAAAATACCACTTATCTCAGCAAGCTCCATACTGTAGATATTTAATCTACAGAGAACGCGGTCAGCAAGTAATTCATAAATAAAAAAGAAAAAAACCTTATATTGCACAATGTCTATTTCCACTTACATGACAACAATAAAAATATGATCTAATTTTGCAAAATAAAACAAAAAAAGAATGCAAAATCTAGCTACAGCCAGACCATTTTACCTATTTTGTCATCCAAATTCAGTTCTTACCTGTTTCAGGATCACTGAAATCTGGTAAGGTAATCGTATTAAGCTGTCGTCTATCAGCAATAGCTCTGTCTAACAGGCTGCTCCCACGTCCGGAATCACTGTAATGAAGTATAGAAATTGTAAGCTATTAAAATAAAAAATTATATACTGAGATACAAGTTGCATGTTGCCCTCCTCCCACAAAGATTCTTGCTATAAAAGTTCTTGCTATGAACAAATTCAGTGCCAAGCACCACTAACCACTCACAGTACATTAAGCCAGCTGCATTAAAACAGACTTAAGCTGAACAAAACTAAATCTATATTTACTTCAGCAATTCTATTTGCATAATTAATAGAACCACAAAGGGAATACAGGCTTTTAATTTGATTCATAGCTAACCGCTTTACAGGAAGGATTTATTGTACCTTAAGCTTTTATATAATATGAGGTACAGTTCTCACAGTGAGCCCAGATGACTTACTTAAAAGCCCAGTTTGAAAATCCACACTCTTCCCATACTGAAGAGAAACACTAAACTCACTAATTTTAGGTAAAGATATTATAAAGATGCCATAACTACATTTCACACAAAAAGGCATCACTTACCTCTAGAGTTTTGGTTTCTTGGGTTTTTGTTTGGGATTTTTTTCAATAAACACACACATATTAACTGCCCAATGCTGAATTGGATCCTAATAGCTCAGATCCTAATATTTTTAACACTTCCAACACCTCAGGAGCCTAAGCAGTAGCAGTGATTTTCACTGATTGCTCCTGTGGACAAATGCACTTAATTTCTGCTTTAGTTGTAATTTAGTATCTGTCCCTCAGGTATCTTGTTGATATACTTGCTAGAAAACTAATTACTCCTAGAACTTCTATTAAAGATTCAGCAGAGGAACTGAGTGCTCCTTCTCCTTAAGGTGAGGTGAGTATTGAGACATTACAGAAAAGTGTGAGGAAGCACATATGGGCACTCCTTCTTTAATATTCTGTGGTTAATACAGTAGTTTCATTTTTAGGATTTTAAGTCTGGTACTATTCACTATCAATTAATACTTTTTAAAAAACCTCCTTTAAAAAAAATAAAGCACCCCACAAACTTAAAAACAATTAAGCTTTAAAGCAATTGGGCTGTTAGCCCAACTTACCAGACTACAAATGTTTGTCTGATTCTCACCAAAAAGAAAAAAACTCCACAAAACGCCTAGCTTAAAGTAAAGCCAAAGAGACTTTAATCTAAACCGCAAGACTGGAATTCAGTACATCTTTCCATTTGCCTTAATTTTAAAATCCCCTCCTCCTGAATTTGAACTGAGAAAAAGGCAAGAAGCTTTTAAGCAACTCTTTATAGTTGCATACGTCAAGAACCAGTGAAACAACCTCCTCTCTTTGTACAGCCGTTACTAAAAAGGTATAAATAAAATTTTGCATTACCCTAACATTATTGCATGACTGATATCCTTACAAAATGATGCCATTACAGAAATCCACAGGAAACAGAAGGAGGCCTTCTGGGACATACACTATCAGCTATCGTTGTTAGACCAGACGGTGCATATTTTCTGATAGCCGCTGTATTAATTACTTCCTCTATCCAGAAACAATGACATGCCAAATGTCGCTGACAAGGAGAGCCAGGGTTAGCGTAAGTATCTTCTAAGCACAGTACTGGCATTGCGGTTTGTTCTGTTTTCTTAATTCAAACTCAGAACTGGAAAAGAATTGAAGTATTTTCTAATGAATTTCAAGCAGTTCTAATGAACTGGCCAGCAGGAGCAGGGAAGTGATTGTGCCCCTGTACTCGGCACTGGTGAGGCCGCACCTTGAATCCTGTGTTCAGTTTTGGGCCCCTCACTACAAGAAGGACCTTGAGGTGCTGGAGCGTGTCCAGAGAAGGGCAACGAAGCTGGTGAGGGGTCTGGAGAACAAGTCTTAAGAGGAGCCGCTGAGCGAGCTGGGGTTGTTCAGTCTGGAGAAGAGGGGACTGAGGGGAGACCTTATCGCTCTCTACAACTACCTTAAAGGGGATTGTGGTGAGGTGGGTGTTGGCCTCTTCTCCCAAGTAACTAGTGATAGAACGAGAGGAAATGGCCTCAAGTTGCACCAGGGGAGATTTAGACTGGATATTAGGAAAAATTTCTTTACTGAGAGAGTGGTCAATCATTGGAACAGGCTGCCCAGGGAGGTGGTGGAGTCACCATCACTGGAAGTGTTCAAAAAACGTGTGGACGTAGCACTTCAGGACATGGTTTAGTGGGCATGGTGGTGTTGGGTTGATGGTTGGACTTGGATGATCTTAAAGGTCTTTTCCAAACTTTGTGATTCTGTGAAGCCGCAGGCTGAAGATCAACATTTAAACCTTCCAAGCCTTGTATCACAAAATAAGTTTTGAATTCATACTAACCGTCTCATGAGGAAAATGTTTGTATGCTTATTAAAGACAAAAGAAAATTGTTCTAAATCAACTGAATAAAGGTAAGGCACAGTGCTGCATTTAGCCCTTGCTTTGTGTGGTATATCTTGTTATACATAATTTATTTTCATTATTAAAAGATTTTGAGGACACGGAACCCAAGTATACTCCACAAAATCTGATCAATTGCAAGAAGAAATATATTTAACATAAAACACAGCTTATCAAAAAAGTGAGTTCTTATCTCACTGGGAAAATGATACATCATAATTAGTTTTCAGTCTAAATCAGAATAGAAAAAGATGTTTCAAATAAGCATAAAAAGATATTTAAGTCTTTGAAAATCAACATTCTAAAAAGGTTTCAAGAGATTAAAAAACCTTCTATTATTGACTTGAAGAGCTATTAAAAAAAGCTTCAGTTATTTTCAGTGGGAGACATAATTTTCAAACCATGCTTTTCAACAAAATGAATTGCGTTTTAAAATTACAGAGGTCAGAAAATTTAAGTTTTCACAAAAATCTTGCATCATCTTTCTTCACTACATCGGGAGCACAGTCGGGTGAATAGAACTCCCCAGTCACATTTCAGGTCTGAGTGATAACTGTTATCCCAGTCAGACAGATCTGGATCACTGTGATACAATAGGAAGGTACTGAGCCCTTAAATTTCACACAGACCCTCCAAATAAAGGTTACAGCTTGGTATCCACACTCACTGTTCAATGTAACTCTGAATGTGTGATTTGTGAAACCTGCCTCCTTCCATCATGACACTTTTCCACAGCCCCTGTCCATTCCATTCCTAATTTGATTTTAATTTGTTACCATAAACCAGAACTTCAAGAAAAGCTTTAAATGCCAAGATAAAAAAGCGGTATAAACTATCAGATGCAAAGTAGTCCTCATTAATTTTTCCACTTAGATGTTCTTGAAGGAGAATAGTGACAAGAGAGTTAGCAACATCGCTGTTCGAAGCTGACACAGCCAAGAATAAGTTTTCACAGTCTCTGCTGATGTCTGAAGGAAGCATTTCTTAACGTGTATTTAACATGGCACAGTAGCTCTTAGCACAACAACAACAACAACAAAGTAATGCCAAGCCACGTCTAGAGCCCTGATCTGTGTAGAGGATGTAACAGCAGAGATGGAAGGTAAAAGTTGTGCTGGAGCACATGCAAAGCCTCACTGAAATTAAGCTTACACTGAAATGCTAACTATTCTGCACAGCACAGCATTCTAACAATAAACTTTTACACACACACACACACACCCCCCCCCTAAAATAAATCACCACCCACTAAGTTAGAAGAGAAATTCTCTCCTAAGTCCATGCTAATGGTTCAGTGACTTTGAGTTGAAAATAATTCAGCTGAAACCTTTCTGGTTGCTGATGGTATTTGCTTTCTATAACCCCCCGAGTCCTGCTCCCTGCCCCACAGCACACTACTCAGAGTGTCTCTCAGTGTGCTCTGACTCGGGTCCCTTTCCCAGGCCTTTCCTGACACACCCTCCAAACTTTCCTGCTCTGAACTGCTCACTAGCTCGCTATGGAGAGAAGCTATTTTTGGCCGTTAGGCCAACTCTCTCAATCTTCTTAAAGAGATGCATGTGTTTACATAACTGAGACCAAACAAAGAGCAAAAATGGAACAGATAACGTTCATCATACTGCTATACAGGTATCTGATGCCACCTGGTACAAAGCTCTTCTGCTGCAGCACCTCTTCTCCAGAAACTGTCAACCCTTCAATCAGCCACATAGCAGGAAGTTCTGCTTGTCCTTTTCTCCAGGTACTTGATAAATGTGTTGAATAGTACCACCATGAATTTCTGCAAAGTGGCCCTCCTGTTTATTTCACAGCTTACATAAATATACATGGCAAAGGACCTTCAGAGAAGCATTTTGGAAACCCAAACAGGACTATATAAACTTACCCAAATACTTGTTAATGCCCTTGAGGAACCTAAATATGTTCATAAGCAACACCTCACTTGAAAAAAAAAAAAAGCCATGCTGACTTTGCTAGCACATCATATTTATCCATGTGACCCTGATGTTTCTATAGTCTTAATTAATGTCTAGTCCTCCTTCATTTTATTTAGTGAAAGTCTTTGAACTACATTTCCACTAAAGCACTAGCCAATATAAAAGGCCCTATAACCCAGACAGTGGCAAAAAATCAAGACAATACAAGTACATTGAGCGCCATCAAGGAGAACGGCAGAGTTACCCAATCTCTGTAATCAGCCCTCATCACTACAGAGTTTATTAGCTTTGGTGCACGTTACTTCACAGCACTCTGGGTAGTTTCTGCATGTCCATCAAATGGTATCTTTGCACTTCAGTCTCCAGATTCCCAGAGGATTAGTTTGTTCATATGAAATACCAGACCAAGGAAAAGCAGGACTGCTGACCTAATATTGCCCTGAAAAGCTACTGAGCAAGGTAGTGAGCACCCTAGAATTCTATAGCATCTTACCTTGGGTTAGTGAGATTGTAGCAGGATTTCCAAATCTGGAGCATGTGTTTACAGGTAAGGAGTGCTTCATCTGGGCCTCTGCACAGGGACTCCAATTTGACTTTTGTAAACAGTAATCTAGTGAAAAGGGAAACAAAATTAAAAGAGAAAGAAAAGAGATTCCAATTCAAGCAAAACATTTTTAAAGATAGCCAACATCACAACAAACTGGAGAAAACATAAATTCAAAGAGTGTTAATTTAAATAATTGTTTTGTGAAGTAATTACAATAAAGTCAAATATCTCACATATCAAAGTAACAGTGCTTTTTATAAGATGGCCTTTTCAACTGGACAGAAACAATAGTGGACAGGATTTAAAATTTTTTTTTTTTAAAGTTAAGCAAGACAATATAGCTTAGTGAAATTAGCAGGACCACTAAGAACAGTACTTCATATGTTGAAGAGAAAAGAGATGTCTTCACTAAAGAAAATCTTTACCGCTTTTATGAGAAAGTATTTTCCATTAACTGGCTCAGATGATAGTTATCTAACACATAAGTCATGAAAGAAAACAACTCCATGCTGATGCAAGTTACTTCCCTATAATATCAACTTCTATTATAGGAAATGGAAGAGGCTATACTGAAAAAGATAGCACTAGACCAGACAGATTCACAGGAGGTAGTCAGCATTGGTAAGGTCAACAAGAAAACGTAGCTCCACCCTACATTCTGTTGCCATCAGCAGGCACTAAAATTGATGTTTGATGTGAATTTTGAACATTTTGAACATTTACAAGTGACAACCTGAAGAAAACACATCATTCATCAAATATGCAGCAAACTATTCATAATGGAAGCAAACAAGTTTGCTGGAAGCCACCATAAATTAACTCCAATTTCAAAGTTGATGTTTCTAACGGTAGCAAGACAAATAAAGTGCATAGCCTCATATGATGATGATTGCATATTCCTTTTACATTCCATGTATCAGCAGAAGGTTCTCCACAGAGATTAACTTAGACACCTTCCTGGATGATTAAAGAATATAAATGCAATGTAATAATAAAAGAGCTAGTCAATTGGTATGCACATTTATAGGAGACACAGCATCTGGGAACAGATAATACACTGGAAAAATACTAATTTAAAAGCAATTTTTAGTAAATTGCAAGATTAAAGCACACAAAGCAGGAGAGAGGATGCATAGAAAACTGTTAGCCTACTTTCTGTTTTTAAACCCAGGTGTACTTTGGCATTCTATTCCAGTGCAACCTTAATCATCCTAAGTGAAAAATTTATATGATTGGTCATATGGTTTGTGTGGGAAGAATGAGAATGGTGTAGAGGGTGGGCATGTGTGAAAGCTCAGAACTTTCTTATCCCAAATACAAACTTCAAGGCTGCTAATAGTAACTGCAAACTGCCAGAGGGTTTTCTCAAGAATAAGAAATGACATCAAGTGCTTCAGTAAGTTACAGTAGCTAAAGCTTTAGTGTTACACTGAATGTCCTTTGCAGAAACTACCTAGCATGTAAATGTAAAAATTAATCACACTATCTTAACTGTACAATGTGTGTATTGGTGGGACTGAGGAGGAAACAAAAGGCAGATCACTGAGTTAGTTTAAGAGAATGAGGACCCTTGGATAAGCAAGATAAATGAGGTCGTATGGAGTCTCACCTGATGTCTTGTCGGAATGCAGAACAGAGTAATCAGTTACACTAGTTTAGCTTTCTTCCTATCAGCAAATCAGATTTGAGTATACAGGAAACTATATAGACAATTTAAAGTTCTGTTTCATCTGGCAGAGCGATCCTCTCTAGATATTTATTTAACTGTGACTTTACCACTGGAAGAAAAAAATGTCCAGGTCTGTCCATCATTTTACTCAAGAGAGAATTAAAAATGGCAATAACACCCTCCTCTCCTCACACTACTACATCTATTCTACCCTTAACATGCGCGCACGCACACACACATCCACACCCACTCCACCCCACCCCCCGCCAAACAACAAGACCTAGGCATCAAAACCCAAACCTAAAATCACAGGAATCTATCTCATACAATCCCTTTCCTGTTTCTCTGTACGTAAAAAGAGGAGAGTACTTTTTACAGTTTCAAGAGCCTATGGAAGTTCAATTTTTCAAAACTTATGATCATAAAGCCCTTTACAAAAGTTATGGAACATAATAAATTCAGAAGCACTGAATTTACAAGTCATTCTAGAAAGAAGATAATAATAATATATACCTTATTATGTACAGTTTACAGATAGACTGAATTTACATTAACAGCCTTCAAGCATTTAAGACTTCCAGGAATTTTGTAGCAGAGAGAAGGCACAGGGCGAGTAAATCACTCAGATTCAGCATGCAAGCGCTAAAAGAAAAAATGAGTGGGAGACAGAAGGGGAGGGGATTTGATTATTAAGAAATTACTTACGAACACGTGTACAAAATAGCAGGAGTCTGTGCAACAAAAATGTAAGAACCTGGACTACTAGTGCAGGATTCAAGGGCAAGATAGCAGAAGACAAATAAACATGTAAGAATTAAAGCCACACATCAGAGTTCAATGTTTTTGGATGCCCTTGGTAAACATGGAACATCATGCCTGCTTCTTATGCACTATGGCAATCAAGGGGACTGGATGGTTGCACACTTCCCAAAATACAAATAATAAACAAAGTGTGATGGAAAAATATTCATACTTTTAATAAAGAATGGCTAGGCAATTGTATCTAATGGGAAGGGAAAAAAAAAAGTACGCTGGTGTGGGATTATCCACACTAAACCAAAAATAATCTTTTTAATAGAAAAGGTTGCATTTATAAAACCACACAGAGCAGTTTCCCTGGGTCCAAGAAATATTTTGATTATAAATCACAAAATAACTAAGACACTTCAGAAAACTGAGATGGGATGTTAATAACAAAATGAAAACCTCCCACCTAGAGGTCTACTTAACAAATAGGGGAAGGAAGGGAAGAAAGAGGAAGGAGACAATGGGCAGGAGAAACACCATGTGACAAACAGGTCCCTCAAATAACTTAATTATTCCAAATTCCCCTGAAATATGGCTGGAGGTATTATTTGATAACAAGAAAAACAAGCAGCTCAGGGACAATTATTATCAGGGAGGTTTTAGAAACCATGAGGTAGATGACCTTTCTGAAAGGTCAGCTTCAAGCACCCGCAGAACAGCCTGCATTACTGACACAGAGAATTTCAAATTTTACAGGGACATTTTCACACCTGTTTTTAATACACTATTAAAGATGGTAAAGAATGGATAAAAACTACCAAGTGATAGGATGATGAAAATAAAGCTGTACATCCAGAGGGACCTGGACAAGCTTGAAGAGTGGGCCTGTGTGAACCTCATGAGGTTCAGCAAGGCCAAGGGCAGGGTCCTGCACCTGGGTCAGGGCAACCCCTGGTAGCAATACAGGCTGGGGGATGAAGGGATCAAGAGCAGCCCTGCCGAGAAGGACTTGGGGGTACTGGTGGATGAAAAGCTGGACATGAGCTGGCAATGTGCGCTCACAGCCCAGAAGGCCAACTGTACCATGAGCTGCAGCAAAAGCAGCGTGGCCAGCAGGTCAAGGGAGGTGATTCTGCCCCTCTACTCTGCTCTGGTGAGTCCCCAGCTGGAGTCCTGTGTCCAGCTCTGGAGCCCTTAGCACAGGAAAGACATGGACCTGTTGGAGAGGGTCCAAAGGAGGCCACAAAAATGATCAGAGGAATGGAGCACCTCTCCTATAAGAACAGGCTGAGAGAGTTGGGGTTGTTAGCCTGGAGAAGAGAAGGCTCTGGGGACACCTTACTGCAGCCTTCCAGTACTTAAAGGGTACTCCTAAGAAGGATGGGGACAGACTTTTTAGCAGGGCCTGTTGCGATAGGTTTAGTGCGCATGGTGGTGATGGGTTGATGGTTGGACTTGATGATCTTAAAGGTCTTTTCCAACTTTAATGATTCTGTGACAAAGGGTAATGATTTTAAACTAAAAGAGGGCAGATTTAGACTAGACATAAGGAAGAAATCTTTCACAATGAAGGTGGTGAAACATTGGCACATGTTGCCCTGAGAGGTAGTAGATGCCCCATCCCTGCAAACATTCAAGGGCAGGCTGGATGTGGCTCTGAGCAACCTGCTCGAGTTGAAGATGTCCTTGCTCACTGCAGGGGGCTTGGACTAGATGGCCTTTAAAGGTCTCTTCCAACCCAAACGATTCTATGATTCTATGATTTTATGAGTATCATGAACTAACTCGTTGTGCCTGTTTGTGAGAATCAGAGGTTTAAATTACTGGCACAGGTGCCGAACAAAACATGACAGAGTAACCACAGCGTGGTAGGACAGTGCTCATGACTAAGAATGCAAGTACTGAGGAACGGGCAATATTCAAAATAGAAATGAAGAGCAGAGCAATGTATCAGCAAAGTGTCAAACTGGAATAAATATAACAGGTAACAAGAACAGAAATCTGCTTGGGTCAAATCCTTTGGGAAGGGAAATAGGTAAAACAGGTTCTGTTAAAGACATTAGACTAACGGGGCATTTCTTCTAGCATCAGTGTTTGATATGGATGCAGATATGGTCATCAGAAACATGCAGAGATACCATCAAGAATAGCAAGGGACAGAGAGGGGACAGAAGACAAAGAAAAATCATCACAGAAAGTTGCATCTTAGGTACATAGTAAAAAGTAAAGCTAAACTATACCTGAACAGGTTATTATGCAAAAAAGTTACAGTCTTTAAAGGCTTTTTTGTACCTAAGTAGGAAAAAAAAGAATATGTGTATACTAAACAGGGACAACAGGATGAAGATCAAGGATATTCAGTAAGGAACCCCCAACCTCCACCATAATCCTTATCTATGTTGTCTCAGATATGAAAAGAATGACAAATGGAGAATAGGAACACTTAAAAAATTATTAAAGTTAATGCAGTCAAAAATAATCAATTTCTCAGAATTACGGAAGCAGTGGCACATGTCCTTTATAAAACTTTAAAGAAAATATCACTTCTGTAACGACTAGGGAACAGCAACTATATTGCCAATGTTTTTTTTTTTCAAGAGGGAAGGCACAGATGAATATATACAAACTCAATAATATACAAAAATTT